CGTGAAGCGTCCCGTGAAGTTCCAGTCGTTTGCTACAACGTTTGATGAAGTCCTGCCAGGAAGTCCTGATAAAACGGCTCTGAAACAAACAAACAAACATCAGCCGAAACCTTTTCGACTTGAGCAGCTGAAACGCGCTCCTAGCCACAAACCTGCGTCGGGCTCGATGAACGAGTGTCTGATGAGGAAGTCTAAGACCACCAAGGCCGAGTTGGGTTTAAAGTCGTCTGTGGCCAGAAGTTCCTTCACCTGAAACGGATCGAAGACAGTCTCAAAGAGAATGCCAAGAGCCGAATGACAGCTAAATGTAAAGGCTAGCAAGAAGCTAAAAGCATCAAAAGTGTAGCTAAAAACAGCAGAAGTGTAGCTTGAAGCTAAGATTGTCACAAGCCTGAATTCTAAAACAACAAAAGGCTAACTAAAAGCTAAAAGCAGCAAAAGACTTGTTGGGAGCTAAAAGTAGCAGAACAACAGCTAAAAGTCCAAAGAGAAGATGAAAACAGAGCCAGTAGTTGAAGCACGTTTAAAGATGAGCTGAAGAGATTAAATTAAATCTTTGTAAATGTTTTCAAATTCATCACAGCGCCTCCTGCAGAGCAAAAAGGAACAGCTAGAACGGCACAAAGTCTGGTAAAAATAAAAACCAGCTGAGAGGAGCTGAAGAAACCGACCTCCTGGACCGGCAGCAGGCTGAACTCCTGGACCTCCCCGTCCCCGACCCTGGGTTCGAACCCGACAGGAAGTTCCAGATCAAAGATGAACTGGCTCTCCGGGAACACGCCCTCCTCGTCCTCGTAGGTGTAGCTGCGGCGCAGGAGCCGATTAAAAGAGACGACGGACTTCAACAGATCTGGTGTTGTTCAGGCTCACCTGACGGTCGATGCGGGCCGGGCCTTCGCAGCGAGGTGAGCCGGGACGCAGGCTTCCTCCTCACACTCTTTGATCAGGGTGGCTCTGACGCCGACGCCTGCGGCCAGGCCGCCCGCCGCCTGTTCAACCACCACAGACAGAAACTCGTGTAGGAGCCGAGCGAACGGAGCAGGAACCACTGAAGGGCCAGTTCCACCTCCTGGAGGGCCACCGTCCTGCATGTTCTAGATGTTCCTCTGCTCCAACACACATGCTAATAATCTCCAGCTGGTTAGGATTCTCAGGATTCCTAACCTCATGACAAACCTGTCGCTGAGAGGAGTGAATGTTTGTAGTTTTTTAGACGAGTGTTTTTCTGGAGTTCAACAGGGAATGAAAGTAAACCTAAATGTTTTTTGTGCAACATATTCAAGTGGGGCGGAGTTACACTGGAGAAGAACAGAGGGAGGCGGCGCAGAGTGACGGATCCTGCTGAGAGGAGGGAGCAGTTTTATCCACCAGGATGTGGCCTTGGCCCCCTATAGATTAATCTTTGGCCACACAATCGTTTGAGGAAACTATACTTTTAATCAATATAAAAACTAGAAAACATCGTTTCCTCAAATTACTGGGGTAGTCTGTTTACATATATACATATATGGTGGCGGCCATCTTGGATTTTGACGTGGCCACCCAGTTTCTGACAGTGATCTTTGTTACACCTACATGCAGCCGCACAACAAAATGGAAATGCACTTGTTTTTCAAGTTATCCAGCGAGTGTTTCCAGTTCCCTCTGCTCCATGACGAGGGACAAATACAGCTGCCATAACTGCCTGAACGCGTTCCCTCAAATCTAAACTACCAGAATATCCTGATCCATGCTCAATAATCCCGGTAGATAAATCTAACCAGGTGGAGTCAGGTCCTCTGGATGATTCTTCTTATTGAAACGTTTC